CAGTCAGCTGAAGTGGCCTGCAGTACTGCACCCTAACCACTGCGCCACCTCGGAAATACTTTGAATGATCAAGGTCAAACAAACAAATGAAAATGGTCACTCAAATGTGACCAGTTTTTGTATAGAACAATGTTTTTCACTCTCAGCAAACTTAAGATATATGAATTTCAGTTCTGAGAATTCTCCAGCAGCATGGGACACATATCTGAAAATTTGCTGATGTTGAAAAACACCACACTAGAATTTTGCCTTTGATAAAGAATTCTGGAACTTAAAATACATAGTGTATTTTTCAGAGTATAAGACTTTCCAAAGTATTAGACACACCTAGCTTTTGGGGAGGATAACAAGAAAAAAAATCTGCCTCTGTCTCCCAGTAATTTGTATCTTTGCAGCAAACAGCAAACAGTCTTTTTCAGTTTCAGCACAGTCTGATTAGCACAGGCAGCTGATTGTCTCTCGATGATTAGCTGTTTCAGGCTGCATGGATTGCCATAGCCTATTGTCACCTCCGTGTGCCCCATTTTCAGCCTCTGCATTCTGTTTTCAGCCTCTGCACATCCCATTCGAAATCAGATCGGAGTGTGCGGAAAATGGGGCACGCAGAGGCAAAAATGGGATGTGGATGCTGAAAATGGATCACGCGAAGGCAGTAAAAGGCAATGGCAGTTCCTGCAGCCTGAAACAGCTGATGGTCAGGAGGCTGATCCAACTGACAATTAGCTTATGCTAATTATCCTGTGTTGAAGCTGAAACTGAAAAAGGGGGGGTTTCTGCAAAGAGACAAGTTGCTGGGAGGCAGAGGACAAAGGGTGGGGCCCAGTGGGTGGACAGGGCTACATTTGATGTATAAGACCCACCCAAATTTTCACCCTCTTTTAGCAGGAGAAAGTGTGTCTTATACTCCAAAAAATACGCTATATAGAATTTGTGGCCTAAAATGTTTAAAACTCCTGGTCTAGTATTAGAGGTACATTTTGCTATGCCTTTACTACATATGATGCTTGATACAGAATACAGTATAATCTATATTTTGCACATAATACTGTAGATGCTCAGGTTTTCCAGTTGTCAACTCTTCTTTAAACTGCAATCCTGCCATTCATGGATGGTATCACAAGACCCAGTCAGATAAAGGAGAAAGAGAAATAGATCCAGGGACAAATGTAGGTCATCTTTCTAAGTCCTGTGGTGGGCATAGATATTTCCAACAGTGTCATTTCAACCATAGCAATGACAAAACTATGCATTCTGGAAATGTTTAGTGGCTGAATCAAGAAAGTTCACCTGCTTGGACTCTCCGAATAGATATTCACAATAGATATTGGCAGGAAATTTGGGCTAATGGGAGAGAAGGACAGAAGAAAGATTAAACATGAAAAATGAACTTTGTTCTTGAATTTTTCTTATCCTACCAAGAAGGGGCTGTCTGCCTAAAGGATGAAAAGATTTATGAAAGTACGTGGGGAGAGGAACCAGATTTGTGTTTCAGGAGTAATAGCTTATGTAGATGTGGATTGATTTTTCTTCTTCTTCTAAATTTAATAATAAATGCCTAAAGGCATTTCCATAAATGTTAAACCAAGGTAGTATCCATAATGAACATATAGTTGTAGCTCATGAATTCCAATGCCTTAATAGTAATTGAAAAAGGATTGATGGCATTTTAGTATAACCATTTTGATTTTATGTGTGAATGTGCTTATGTAATAGACTATCTGCTCCATAAAAAAGGATGTCACTGGATTTGCAATAGATTGGATAAATCGAGGCATTTATTTGGCTCACTCCCAAGGAGCTATTGAAGTAATCAGCTTGGATGGAAACAATTCTCGAATACTTATAAAGAACAATCACAATCCTACAAGTATAGAAGTTGACCCAAGTCAAAGGTATTTCCACGTTTAGTTACCACAGAAGCAAAACTCAAAGTTAAATGATATGGAGAAAATGCAGGGGTGAAATCCAGCAGTTTTTGACAGATTCTGGAGAACCGGTAGCAGAAAGTTTGACTAGTTTGGAGAATCAGTAGTGGAAATTTTGAGTAGTTTGGAGAACCTGCAAATACCACCTCTGGCTGGCCCCAGAGTGGGGTGGGAATGGAGATTTTGTAGTATCCTTCCCCTGCCACGTCCACCAAGCCACATCATGCCTACCAAGCCATGCCCACAGNGATAGATAGATAGATAGATAGATAGATAGATAGATAGATAGATAGATAGATAGATAGATAGATAGATAGATATAATTCTCCTATTTTCCCCGCAACCAAAGCTTTGTGAGGTGGGCTGGGCAGAGAAAAATTGACTGTCCTTAAAGCCATCCAGCTGGTTTTTAATGGCTAAGAAGGAACTAGAACTTACAGTCTCCTGGTTTCTAAGTCAATATTTAACCGCTATCCAAAACTTTTGAACTGGATATTTTGCTACATTTCATATTTTTGAAGGATGTATTAAATGTTGAACTTGAAGAAATCTGTAATGCAGAAAAGGGTGGTGGCTCATTGGCTAAGACATTGAGCATGTTATTCAGAATGGGCAGCAGTTCGAATCCCTAGCGCTGCGTAACGGAGTGAGCTCCTGTTACTCGTCCCAACTTCTGCAAACCTAGCAGTTCGAAAACATGTAAAATGCAAGTAGAAAAATAGGGACCACTTTGGTGGGAAGGTAACAGTGTTCTGTGCATCTTCGGTGTTTAGTCATGCTGGCTACATGACCATGGAGATGTCTTTGGACAGCACTGGCTCTTCAGCTTTGAAATGAATATGAGCACTGCCCCATAGGAATGACTAGCATATATGTGCAAGGGGAACCTTTACATTTACCTATAATGCAGAAAAGAATAAAATAGAACCATTTGCTTTGGAGCCAGGCATTTTGTCACTTTTCACTTTTTTTCTCTTTAGCTCCTGTACCATTCCTAGTTTTCAGCCAAGGAAATGTGATCTATAGAATAGATGTAGAAGGAACCAATCACCAAAGACTGGTAGCTGATGTTGGCTTATCAGCATTAACTGATTACCATTATGAAGCAAAATATCTTTATTGGGTGGACAAAGAAAAATGTCTTCTACAACGTGTACATTTGGATGGTTCAAATCAAGAGGTAAGGAAATAATACTTTTCAAAATTCTTCCTGATTGTAAATAAAAAGGGACATTTTTAACCAAAAAAGGATCTCTGTTTTTTCTTGGAAAGGAAGTGATACCACATGCTATTTATCTTGGGGGCTGATGAAGTTAATGCAATTTAGATGACAGACCATTCTCATCATTTCTTCTTCTTATATTTGACGAAAGAAGAAAGAAACCAGTGTCTATATTGGGTGGAATAGCAATAGCAATAGCAGTTAGACTTATATACCGCTTCATAGGGCTTTCAGCCCTCTCTAAGCGGTTTACAGAGTCA